TCTACGTACTCTCTCTCTCTCTCTCTCTCTCTCTCTCTCTCTCTCTCTCTCTCTCTCTCAGATAGATATTTTGTAATCGTGTTTTACGTCGAGCTTTTACCTCGCTTTTCAAGAGAACAGTCAGTTATCCTGGATTATTAGTCGACGCAAATAATATTTGTTATCTGACTCACTACCAGAGATGCGAGAGTGCACGTTAATAAGATTTTTGTGATGATTACTTCTGAGATACTATTTGAGACATCGCATCCTAGATGCTTTCTATTTTAACTCTTTGACATATCTGTAAAAAAAAAAAATTAGTTTTAAATCAAGACTGTATACATTCTCATATGTAAGCAAGAATATATTATGATCTTCATATAAAAAATGTTTAATCTTAATTTAAGCAAAAGTAACACCTGCATCAATACAAATTCAATCGAGGGTCAAGACTAAATAATTTTTTAGAAGAAGATTATAAGAAGATTTTCGCTTATACATAAGAATATTTATCTTGATTTAAGATTAATCTTTTTTTTCCGCGTACATACGTTTACATTTTTATCATTAAACTTTTATCAAGCTAATTTAGTTAAAGAAATTTTTGTCAGAAAGGTGCGTGGTATACCGCATCTGCCACAAAAAGGTAGAAAAAAAAATATCATTAACGCGCGAAAAATTTAGATTGAAACCGTTCGTATCTATCTCGTCTCTCGGAAAAGTATAAAGGGGGACCCCTTACGACCGGGTGTAGCCGATTAGGGATGCTATTAAATGTACGCGCGCGGCTGCAACAGGTACACGACCTGAAACGGGCAACAGCCGGCCGATGTTATTGCTCTCGGGAAGACGGTAGCCGGGGTAATTGATTATCTTGCGCCCTTTATACGTTACGAGCTTGCCCTACCTCTTAAATCCAGCCTGCGCGATCTAAGAGATGCTCTCTCTCTCTCTCTCTCTCTCTCCTCGCATTTTCTATACCCGCAAATTATACGGCGGAATCGACGTTAGTTTCAGAGGAGAAAAAAGAGAGTTAAGCCGAACGAAAGTGGTCTACTCCTCGCCGAGGAGGTGAGGGATCGCGGTATATGCAAAGGAGAAACACTATAAAAATGGGCGAAAGCATCCATAAAAAATAATTTTCATCGCACATCCTTCATTATATTCGCGGTTATTATTTTTTAATAGCAATACCAATTCATAATATATTAAATTATTATTGTAACATTTCAATAATGCTTTAATCTGTGTAATTTGCGCCGCAAAAATTTTTGAAACAGATTAAGATGTATGATATATGAAATTGCAAGAAAATGTAAAACGTAAAAGTACCCTTTTTTCGTTAAATTTTTCTTCCCTCCTTTTTTATTTTCTTTTTTCATTGGGTAACAGAATTATAAATTTATTGGCGCAGAATGCAATTCATATTGCAATTGCGTCATCAACAATAAATAAAAATAACAATAATCTTAATAATTAATTTTTTTAACTGTCTTATTCAAAAACAATTGTACATTCATATATATTTGAAGAGATGAGAATTTTTTGCTGTCAAACATAATAAATAACTGGTAAGAAATATTATACATATAAATACGTTTTCTATTTTACGTGTTTTAAAGAAAAAGAGTGTAGTTATAGCACAATTTAACTATAATTTATAGTTATTTTTATTACAAACGGTATTTACATAATTATTTTAATAATAGCTGTAAAAATAAGACATTTGATTAAAGTTCTGTTATTAAGCAGTTATATAGCCATCAAATATCAAACATTTTATTTTCTTTTTAGCGTACGTAAACGCTGAACGAAATCGAACCGACGACGAGTCGCGGACGAAAGGGGGAGTTCGGGGGAAGCAATAAATCGGTTAAATCGCTAATCCGGGGAACGGATCTCGTTGTTGCGGTAGATTCCAAACAAGGCGGCGCGGTAAATTACGAATTAATTACAGCGCGGCTTATGACGCGACTTCTAATTTCCAACTGGACGAACGAGAGCAACTCAACTCGACTCGCGTTCGCGCCGAGGAAGCCGAGGCAGGGCGCGTGCACTTCCGACGTGGCTCTTCTCGGTCTCGATTTTATGCCGCACTGTGTGTGTGTGTGTGTGTGTGTGTGTGTGTGTGTGTGTGTGTGTGTGTGTGTGTGT